TACTACTACTACTACTACTACTACTACTACTACTACTACTACTACTACTACTACTACTACTACTAAACTACTACTACTACTACTACTACTACTACTACTACTACTACTACTACTACTACTACTACTACTACTACTACTACTACTACTACTACTACTACTACTACTACTACTACAACGACTACGACTACGACTACGACTAATTACGATTTCTACAACTCCTGGCTTTTTGGTTCCGCCTCGTCGTCATCAAAATGTTGCCGAGGTTGTCGCCCGAGGGAGGGGGATCAAGACCTGGGGTGTGGTCTGGGCCCTGTTGGTTTTCCGAGGAGTACGCAGGAGGGACAAGGAAGGAGCCCTAAGGACTTGACGCGTAAAGCAAATCGTGGCCGCCGCATCACAAGTCGAGAGACGGAAGATAAGTGTTTAACCCCTCAGGAAGAGGAAAGAGGCAGGAGTCTTTCCTTTACCACGATAGGCCCCCCATGATAAAAACTGCCAGCTTCCCAGGTGATGGGCACGGAACTCCACCATCAACAAACAGGCTGAAAAAGGAAGGACGGAAGAGCGCGGGAGAACGGAGGAAGGGGAGTGGAAACAGCACGCTTTGGACGGTCCTAGCAACCAGGAGCGAGCCCACGAGGCCGCGAACTACATGAAGCTCGCGGCCCCTTTCCTCCCTTCTCTCGGGTACGCGCAATATGGATCACCTAGGCAAGAGTGGCCTTTGGTGCGCGGCTTGCCGACCGAGGCGCGCGATGCGACAGCAGCAGCCTGCATGTTTGGGCTTGCCCCCCCCACCCCTGAAAGCCGTCCAAAATAAATGCCGAAATGGCACAGGATCATTCAGTTTTCGTGTTACAACTCGGGCCTCCAGCCACTGGTCGGGACGATCCGGGCACCCCCCGAGAGCTCCTGGCGAGGCGCAGCTGCTTGAACGAATCCCGAGGCAAGAAACCCTTCAACAACCGCCATATGGCCGACCTTTCCCTAACCGCGCGCCAAAAATCACTCGGGCGAACCGTCACTCTGACGTGTAGCCAATTCTGAGGGAAACGGGTCCCGAGGAAACGGGTCCTGGAACACAGGGGCTTCCCCAGGATCAGCTCTTTTCGTACAGAGCTGTTTTGAGGCAGTCCAGGAGCCCGCGGAGGGCCCCGGGAGCCAGAGAGCACCGAAAGACAAGAGGACCCGCTTGCCGCAGGACCCGTTCCCAGCCATGCGATGCCTTGACTTTCTCTGCACGCTGTCCCCAGAAGTCCCTGCCCCTTCCTCAGGGCCCGTGCTTCATCCCGTCTTTCGATGCTGGCCCTGCAGCTCGCGCGCGCGCGCCGTTCGCATCACGAGCCAAGCGAGAAGAGATCGCGAAGCAAACGCGCAACCCCAATCGAGAGTCGAGAGGGGTGAAGGCCGATGCTGCACTACGCAGCGCTGCACCGCCCAGAGCGAAACAGCGACCCCAGAGCAGCGGCGCGGCCCATCGCCTGCGGGTCGGGTGTTGCTAGAAGTGCCCGTGGCCCAAGGAACCCGCAGGATTTCCGGAAGGCCCCCACGGCTTCCAGAGCACTCCTAACCAGGCCCAAGGGACCCGAAGGGTTCCAAAATGCAGCGAAAAGCTGGGGGCACCATGGGCCAGGGGCACCTTTAGCAACCCCCGAGCGCGGACGTCCACTGCACGGAGAGAGCGTGATCCACCGCCGCTTTACTGTGGAAAATTGCCGCCCTTTTCCTCCGGAACCCGGGGGTCCCCCCCCCCCTCCGAAAATCCCCCCCCCCTGCTGGACCCCCCCCCCCCCCCTTCCCCCGGCAAAACCCCCCCCCTCCCCGCCCCCCCCCTCGAACTCGAAAACCGGGGGGGGTCACTACCGGTTCGAACCCCCCCCCCCCTCGAAAACCGGAGGGGGGGGTCACTACCGGTTCGAACCACTGAGCTGTCCCACTGTTCCCACCACTGTCCCCACTGTCCCCACCACTGTCCCCACTGTACCTCTGTCCCATTGTCCCACCGCCGTCCTCGCCACCGCCTTCACCACTGTCCCCACCACCACTGTACCCTCCACTGTCCTACTGTTTCCACCACATTCCCACTGTCCCCACACCACTGTCCCCACCACCACCGTCCCCACCACTGTCCCACTGTCCCCACTGTTCCCACCATTGTCCTCACCATTGTCCCCACCACTACCGTCCCCACCACTGTCCCACTGTCCCCACCACTGTCCCGCTGTCCCTTCGCCACTGTCCCCACCACCACCGTCCCCACCACTGTGCGCACCCCCCCTCGGTTTTCGAAGGGGGAAGGGGTGGGGGGGGTTCGAACCGGTAGTGACAACCCCCCCCCGGTTTTCGAGCTCGAGGGGGGGGGAGGGGTAGGGGGGGGGTGCGAACCAGTAGTGACCTCCCCCCCTTTTCATGATGAACTGGGGGGGGGGGAGGGGTTCGAACAGGTAGTGACCCCCCCCGGTTTTCCGGAGGGGGGGGGGGGAGGGGTTCGAACCGGTAGTGACCCCCCCCCCGGTTTTCCGCCAGCAGCGGTAGAGCACGCTCTTTCACTGCACGCGACGCCGGCCACCGTCACAACAGCAGGGCCTGCCGCCCTCCGCCAGGGGCCTCCGCCACCCCCTCCGCGGCCATACCCTGCCCCGCTCGCCCCGCGCCCAACTCGCGGGAGAGACGAGGCCCCCTGGTGCCCCGTGCAAAACGAGAACCGCTGCCCCTTGGGAGGGAGGCCCCCACGCCTGCGCTGGGCGCGCTGGGCGCGCGCCGCGGTCGCCGTCGTCGCCGTCGCCTTCGGCGCCGCCGGCGCCGTCGTGGGCCCTGCAGGTCGGATCTCGGAAGAGCCAGCAGGGCCGCCCGACGAAAAGAGAGGGACCTTTCGCACGATGGCACGGCGACCTGACGCCGCGGCTTCCGCTGGCCGCCAGCGTGGCACACCACGTGGAGAAGAGGGCGCTCATGCGCGACCTTACGCGGGAAGATTGCACGCGAATGTCCGCGCAGTCGAACCCGTTTTTCTGCGCCGCCCACACACGGGCCTGGAATCGGGGATGCGTTGCCGATAGATTGGCCATAGGCCCCCGATGGCGAGTCCGCACATCTCTGGACGGGGGGGGGGGCCAAATCCGTTCTAAACCGCTCCCCGGACCCCTCCCGGGGTCCATCTGGCGCAGTTGTTCATGGCTGATGCGTTTTTCACTGTCCCAGGGCCCGAAAACAGCCCCCAGAGGCCGAGCAACAGAACCTCGAACCCGCCCACCCTTCCAGCTGGGTGGGACCCGTGCTGGGCCACCTCAGACTTCCAGACGGGCACCAGTGCTGGGCCACCTCAGACCCCCAGACGGCTCCAACTTCTAAGCCATCTCCGAGGGCACAGAAGACATCTCGGAAGGCGCGAGGGCTCCTGAGAAGCCCCGCCGCCTCCTGAGCAGGCCGGCCCCCGTCGCCGTCCCCTTGTCGTCCTCGTCGGCCTTGTCCGCGCTCGAAAGGGGCCCCCCCGAGGCCTCCCCCGAGGTGGATGGGCGGCTTCGGGGGAGGCCGCACTCGCTCGGCAGGGGCCCTCTCCGGATCGGCCTGGTGGGACTCCTCAGAAGCCCCGCCGCCTTCTGAGCAGGTCGACCCCCTCCGCCGCGGCAAAAAGCGCCTCCGCATCTCTGCTCGGACGAGGGGCTGCCGTGAGCCTCACGGCCCGGCGGGGTCCGAGGTTGTGCACAGCGGCACAAAGGCGAGGCGAGAGAGGGGGGGGGAATGAGAAGGGGCAAGCCTTTTCGGAAGGCTCGGAAGTCCACCGGCCTTCTGAGAAGTTCTCCTCTAAGCCGCCTCTCTCGCTTCCTCCCTAGGCTCGCCGCCGATTTCCATCGTGAGTCGTTTCCTGGCGTCCCTGGGGCATGACAGACTGACCCCCCCACCCCCCCAGGGAGGCAAACACAGCGGAAGACTTGCCGCCTCTGGGGCGATGCGGTCGAATCGGCCGATCCGCGGGCCCCGGGTCCCGAAACTGTCCCATAGTGAAGCACAAACGGCGGAGAGCTGGCTGCCTAAAGTTCTTCGAGCCGCCAGATCTCTGGGGCGATGCCATGACATCCAGCGCCTCGATTTGTTGCATGCACGGCCCCCGGAAGTCCCGACCCGTTCCTCGGAAGTGGTGATTCGTCCTGAGTTGTTTTTGACCGTCCGGGGGCCCGGCCAGGGCCCCCGAAGGACGAAACCACCGAAAACTCTCGTCCTGATGCCGGTCAATACGTTGACGGTCTGGGCATATTTTTCCTGAGCCACCAGATCCCTGGGGCGATGCGGCCGAGCCGGCCGAGCCGCGGGCACACCCTATCGGGCGGTGCCAGAGATGTCCCAAGGCGTCCCCGGGATTTCCAGGGAGGCCCCATATGACCTGTGTTGTGCCCATCGTACTCCAGGACCGCATCCCCAAAGTGACTTCGAGCACCCAGAAAGGTATCGAAACAGTGTCTGGCCGACACGTTGGCGAAGTGTCGAACGACAATCGCCTCTCAGGGCCCGGCGCGTGAAAACCCTCCAATTTCGGTAGTTCCCTGGCGCTCGAAATTCTTTTTGGTGGTCAAAGCCAAAATAGGTCGGGACATCATAACTCATAGCCCATGGCCTCCAGAGCACCCCTCACAAGGCCCACAGGGCCCCATTTAGGTGGCAGGGCATGGGAGAGCTTCACGTAGTCGCACGGGCCTAGTTCGTAAGATGTACTGGGCCCCCATTAAACCCACTAAATCCGACCTGCGATCCCGCTAAATCCCACGAGCCCTCTTCTACACATACCCCACTGCTGAATCCCACTTGAACACCAACTGAAACTAAAGTCTATCCAAGTATGAAAAACGCTGGGTCGAACAGAGGCTCCCATACTTGGCCACCTGACCTCAGGGGCCCAAAAGCTGCGCGACCACCTGGAGACACCTTGGGCCAGGACCGCTTCTAGCAAAACCTGGCCCTCGTCCGACGGCGGCGGGCGATCTGCCGGACGCTGGCAGCTGCTCCTGGATGGCCGCCAACAGCTCCGCCTCCGACACGTGCAGGACCCGGTAGCCTGCGGGCGCGCCCATTGCTTAAGGCTTCGGGCTGCGCACAGACAGCCTCCCCGGGTAGTCCCAGCTGGATTGACCAAGCCCCCCGGGTAGTCCCAGCTAGACTCAACAGACCCCCGAGTAATTACTGCGGAACGGTTTCAACACGACCCTGGGGCGAAGGGGGGTCGGGTCGGCACCTCGGGGGCTGCGGATTGAAAAAACCAACCATATCGTCCAATGTCTGGGTGGAGCATTCCAGGAGGGGCTTCGCCTTTGAGGATCGAAGGAGTTGACATCTCTTCCTCGGTTGAAGTCGGCGGTATGCCAGCGAAAGTAAAACGGCGCCGGGTCCGCTGGCGAAAGCGGAAGCCTCCCAAAGAGATGCGGATTGAAAACGAGATCTCGGCGGATGTCAAGGCAGCCACGGCGCCGACGGCGACGGCGCCAGCGGCGTTGCCTCCGACGCCGACGGCGGCGGCGACGACGGCGGCGGCCAGAGCGACGACGACGACGACGACGACGACGACGACGACGACGACGACGACGACGACGACGAGCGCGCCGTCGGCAGTCGCCCGTTCGCCAGCCGTCGCCGCCGCTCTCGCCGAAGTCGTTCCCGCTGTCGTCGTCTCTTGTCGTTCGCCGTCGTCGTTCCCGTCGGTATGTGGCTCGTCGTCTCCAGACATCCAACGATATGATTTTTGTTCAGTGCGCGGCCCCAGCGGTCCCGACCCTTTCCCCGGAACCATTTTTTGCCTCGCATCCAATGGCCCTGGCGCCCGACAACGCACGCTGGGAGCGGAGCGGAGCGGAGCGGAGCGGAGCGGCGCCGATGTCGCCCAGAGGGCGTATCGCAGGCAAGCGTTTCCCAAAACCCCATCAGAATGATTACTTCGAAATGTCTGACATATGACGTCGAACCACCGCATCCGAGGCCGTTGTGGTAGCCTCCGAGCACGCACTTCGCAGCAGGGTAGGTCCCACATTGCGACTTTCCAACTCGATTTGTGTATGCCGCGCACCAGTTTAGATACCAGCACCATTTCCGTCGCCTGCGCGTTGTAACCCAATTCAAGTGGCCAGTTTGAGAAAAATGTGTTCCGAAGTATGTGTTGCTCTTTTGACCCACTCGTGCCATGGCTCAATGTATGTTCGAATGTCCGAAAACGAAATGGTTGACAAACGTGTGTGATGTGCACTGCTGTCGGTGTCGTTCTCTGCGGACGCTGTGTCGGCGTTCTCTTCGTTGTCCGCCGCGTCAATGTATCGGCGCCGCGGCGCACTCACAATCATACGTAACATTCGGCGCTGGGTTGCCCGAACTTTGCCCTCCAATTCCGCCGTGAATGTCCACGACGCATACCCGTACAACATACTTGCACCGACGACGTCGCTGAATAGGCGCAGCCCGTCATTCGCTGAGTACGCCTTGGTAGTGAGTTCCTGCGTGAATAAACCGAACTTTCTCCAAGCAGCCTTGATCCGCGACTCTATCTCTACTTTTGTTTGGCCACATCATGTAAACTGTCGGCCAATATATCTCTATGCCCCCGAGAAAGGCAAAACTTCGATCTGCATGTCGTCATCGACGGCGAATTCCGGTGTAGTTTCTGGCTTCCGGTAGCAAAGGTCGTGTAATATCTTCGTTTTGTCTGGGTGGATTTCCAGGCCCGTCGTCAAAGCAACGCTCCAGACGTCTGATATCACCCGTTTGATCGACGACATTGAACCAGGGGGCTCAAGTATCCAGGACAAGAAAACGGGCTGAGAAAGTCATGTCGTCGGAGATCTCGGTCGGTCGGTCAGAGAAGCAGGTACACCGATGTAGCCTTAACACCTCCAAGTCCGCGGGCGAAATGCCCCCGACCCGAACGAGGAGGAGGCCTGAACGAGGAGGAGGAGGCCCGATCGAGGAGGAGGCCCGAACGAGGAGGAGGCGAGAAGGAGGAGGAGGCGGCGCGAACGAAGAGGAGGCCCGAAGTTCGTCGTCGCCATTCTCGCCGAGGTCGTCGTCGTCGTCGTCGTCGTCGTCGTCGTCGTCGTCGTCGTCGTCGTCGTCGTCGTTCGTGCGTCTCCTCGCTGTGCGAGGCGTGAGCCGCCCATGCCGCTCTCGCCCCGCCGAGCGAGCCCGTCCCCCCCCCGCTCGGTGGAGGGCGGAGGCTCTCCAGGGCCTCCAGGCTGTCGCGCTGCGTGGGCAGAGAGTGTTTTAGCGGGGGCCACAAGAATAAGACGAAGCCAGGACGAGGATAAACTCGGGTGAGGATAACTCGAGAATCTCTGATATCCCGCCGCTCTGGAGGATGTCTCGGGCGCCGCGGCCTTCTCAAAGCGTTCCGGAACGCTCTGAGAGCGGTCCGGAACGCTCTAGAACGGATTGATCCTGTCCTAGCCCTGTCCGAAAGAAGCCCCCCAGGAGGGCCCAAGAGGCAAAAAATAGTTGCTTCCCCAGGAGTTTGGGAGGATCTTCGCGTTCTCGCCCGCAGGTCCCCAAAACGGTCCAAGAGGGCCGCGAGTCGCCCCAAGATCGCTTCAAGATTCCCAAAGTGGCCCCAAAATGGCCCAAGAAGCCCCTGAGACGCCCCTATAGGGCTCCAAAAGCCCCCCCAAAGAGGGCCCGACAGCCCCCAAGAGGTGTTTGCCGGATTTGGGCGTGCTCGCGTTTTCGGGCCTCTGACGCTGCAAGACGGCCCCAAAGGCCCCCAAGACCGCCCAAAGAGGCCCGCAAGAACGCTCAAGAGGTCCTCAAGAACGTTTAAGAGGTCCTCAACCTGGCACCCGATTGGCGCAGTTATCTTGTAATGACATATATGATACCGCACTCGCCTTGAAAGAAACCTGTCCTGAACCCCAGGGCCTTCCCCAGGACCAACTTCTCATCATAAGCCGACTTTGCAGGCCCAGGGGCCCGTGGAAGGTCCCCAGAACCCAAAAACAGCCAAAAGCGTCCAGGACCCGTTCCCCCCAGGACCCCTCCCCACACATCCGCCATCTTGGCGTTCCCCACACGATGTCCCCAGAAAGCCCGACCCTCGCCCCGGGCCCGACGTTTCGTCCTGACTGTGCCAGGACACGCCCTGTAGAGGCCGAAGACGGAGAACAAAACCAACGTGCCCGGGGGGAGGTGAGAAGGGGTGGACCTTTTTTCAGAAGGCTCGGAAGTCCACCGGCCTTCTGAGAAGTTGTCTAAGCCTTCCCCGAAGGCTCTGAAATTTTCTCGAAACGCGCGAGGGTTTCCGAGAAGTCCCGCCACCTTCTGAAAACGCCTTCTCCTTCTCATTCGCCGCCCCTCGCTCGCCGCCGATTGTTTCACGACGCCCCTTCCTCACAGCACGGTGCCGGCAGGGCTGCCCCGACGTCTCCCCGCGGCATCCTCCGCCAGACGTTTGTCCAGTCCGCGGCCACAGGCCTGCCGACCCCCTTTGCCCCAGGGTTTTTGCGCCCCCAGGTTCCGATATGATGGGCCCGGGGCCCGATGAGGTCATCCAGCATAATGAGGACGCACGATAAGGATGCAAGGGCCTTGGAAGGCCACGTCGACACTTTGCCAGTGGGGCACGGCCAGCGAAAGAGGCCCTGGATGGGCCGAGTGGGGCGGATGCAAGGGCAACCTTGGAAAGTCGTTCCTCCTCACCACGCGGGCTGATTGTAACGAGCCCTGGAAGCCGGAACCTGGGGAATTACTCGACTCGAAGATCCCCAGATGTGCATGTCATAATGACGGCATGCTTCGGTAGCATGTTTTATAGGGGGCTTCTGCAAATAATGTTTGGCGCACCCTTTTATAATCGAAATCTCCGCCACCCCGCGCGGGGCCATGAGTGGAAGCGACAGCGCCATAGATAGAGTCAGCGAACGTCATACAGGAGCCGTCTGGCCCGCGACTTCTCCGCACCCCTCTCGACCCAACGTGGAAGCAATGTCCGTGTCGACACTCCCGTGTCCGTCGTCTCAAACCGGAAGTAATTGGCGGCGCGGTACACGCCGTAATTGAATGGAGCCAATCGCACCACATCTTCTTCGGAAGTTCCCGGGTCCAGGAGGAAAAATGAAAGCATGGCCGGCGGCATTTTCACGCCCAGCCCACCAGGTCTGTCGCGCCGCAAATGGCCCCACACAGCCGGACATACACTGTAGTGCTCGATGCTGTCGTCGCCGCTCTCGCAGCCGAGTAAGCACTGGCACGGCTTGTCGACGCCGCTTTTCTCTGCGTGCCTCATGCGACGCCGGGCGACCCAGCCGTTGAACAACGTGCGGAGGTATGCTGACGCCACCCTGGGCGGGCACCACCTACGCAGAATTTCGAAAACCTCCAGGACACGCGCCACCAATGCCGCCTCGTCACCTGCAAAATTCCACCGGGCAAGCTTGCGAGCAGTGCGATGTAGATGGCCGGGTCCGCAATGTCGACTGATCAGATCGACTGCAACAGACTGGAAGCTGGCTGAGCCGTGCCCAGCAGGGCCTTTCAGCACCCTCTGGATCCGGCTGAGGCTGATCCCGTCGTTCTGCAATTGCTGCTCTGTGCGGAGCAGGACAGCGAACAAAGAGTTGGCGTGCCAGCTCCCGAACGGGCCTTGCAGCACTCCTTCATCCAGCATGCGCAATTCTTCGACGCGTCCTTTGCAATCCGGGGCGGCAGTTTCAATCGCTCGCAGCTCAGCGGCCCGCGCAACGCAGCGGGGTGGAGCGAAGGAAAACTTGAACGCGAATGCCTCTCTTAAATTGCACAAGTCTTCAGGCATGACCCAATTTCCAGGGCCCGGGGCCAGACGGCGTAGCGCCCAGGAGAAAATGTCACCCATGTCCTCGGGCAGGTCCTCAAGCTCCATCACGAAGCTCAATACCGATAGAATAAAAAGTGCGGAGAAAAATGATGTTCAAGAACAGTCAAAGGCGCCTTTGCGCCCAGATCAGCACCCGCTTCGTGAATTTCTCGATTGGCTTCTCCCATGACAGATTGCCGGCGCCGGGCCCCACCCAGTAACCGAGGCATTTTCCGCGAAGGGAAATCAGAATGTCCCTCCATTGCGGCGCCAACTCGCGAATGAGAGACCTCACGTTGGACTCCGACTGGAAGCGCCATAATGGGATAAGCACTGTCTTCTTGATATTGAGAGCCAACCGGGATATCTTTTTCAAATTCTGAAAATAGCTGGCTGAAAACTGGAACCGCCACCGAATAGTCTGCGATTACTGCAGCTGTGTCATCTGCGAACGCTCTAACTACTTCGCGCCCAGACAGGTGCCGCGAAAGCTCGCGAAGCAAGATGTCGGCGCAGATCGCGAACAGCAGCGGAGATACTGGGCAGCCCTGCCAGACCCCGCTCTCCACGGTGATGGCGTCGAAGAACTGGCCGCCCACTTTGTTATCGTGCCTGTTCCGCACGTGGAACACGCGCGAATAAATTCTTGCGGAAGTCCAACAGCCCCCAGCGACTCCCACATGAAAGAGCGGCCCATGCTGGGGAACGCCGCGCGGAAGTCGAACAGCATAATGCATCCCCGGCGAGACGTCAGGGAAATTTTCTGCGCAGCGAAATCGATATCCAGAACGTTCCTCAGCATCTGCCTGCCCGGAATGAACCCCCTCTGCGACAAGGAAATTCGATGAGCCGCTGCCTTCTCCAGCGCCCTGCGGAAGATAGATGCAAGAATGCGGAATGCGGCATGCTTCGGTAGCAGACATGGTCTTTTTTCCATTATACGAATGTCAACGGGTCCATGTGGAAGACGAAGCCGAGAGAGACGCCGACGACTACGACGACCTAAACTAGGCGTTTCCTCCTTGTGTCCTCCTTCCCCCTGCCCTCCCCCTACTTATCTTTCTTTTCCTGTGAACACCTGTCAGGAGAATCCAGATGCGAAGACGAGAATGCCAAGGAAATCCGAACAATGCATGAAAATATGGGGAAACCAAGAGCAGCGAAGCTCGAGTCAGGAGCCTCGAACCTCGATCCTCTGGACTCGGCAAACCGAGTTGCCCGTTCGGCGGCGAGAACCCTCTTACTCTTTCCACATTCATCCTCCTCCCCCTCCTGTTCCTTCCTCTTCCTCCACCTGTTCCAACTAGTGTTGCTCCTTTATCTTCGCCACCCCTCCCCAGTTACCAATTCCCCTTCGCCACCTCCTACTCCAGCTCCACCTCCTCCACCTCCTCTCGCAATCTGAGCCCCGCGGGATGCTCGAGCCAGCGCTCCGCCTGAGAACTCCTTGCGACTTGCTCTGGGCGCAGACGAGTCTATCAGCCGAAGCAAACAAATCGGTTAAGACATCCTCGCAGTCTGAAGCCCGCGGGGCGCTGTCACTAGCGCCTCGCCTGAGACATCCACAGCGCATGCTCAAAACGCAAGCGAAGCTGGCTACGAATTTAGCGAACGCGCGAGATTGCCTCGCAATCTGGGATCCTCGGGGCGCTGAAGCCAGCGCCTTGCCTGAGACATCCCGTTGCCTGTTTCCTGTGTTCTCAGCGGCCAAGCCCATGTATCTTTCGCTCGCCCGCAGATGGACGAGATCCGCCGCGGCTCGCCGCCGATCGAGACCGCCCGCACTTGGCATCGGGCCGATGAGACAGGCGATCATGTTACACGGCCAAAGAACATCTGCCGCGAGCACTTGGCATCTGGGCGGCAGCCGAGGACGGCTTGCGCAACGGCAACGGGAAATCCGATCGGGGCGCTACCGTCCGCACTTGGCATCGGGCCAAAGAGAACTAAAGCAGCCACTCCTCGTTCTCTGGCAGCACCATCCCGCACTTCTCGGCGAGCTCAACTGCTCTCTCCACCGTCAGATTCTCGTTGCGTTGGAAGCGTTCGAGAGCTTCCTGCACCGCCTTCGGCGGACCTCCTTCCAGCAGCCAGCGAGGCGGCGGCCGCGCCGGCAACGTGTCCGCCATTCGGATGGCGCGGGAGAACATGACAGAAGGTTCACCCACCATGCAGCGCCATCAGCGCGGCGCTGTTCCTGGGGCTCCTGGCGCGCGCAGTCGATGGTCACAGCGCCGCGCATCGTCTGCCCCTGCGAGGCCGTCTTCGCCAGGTAGTGGGCGTGCGACATCATGAAGCCGCAGCGCTTCAGAGTGTTCGCCGTGGACGACGCCTCCCAGGTGAAGGTGGTCTCCACCAAAGGCACGCAGAACAAACCGCGAGCGATCTTCTCGTCGTTGTCCACGTAGTCCATGAAGTCGCCCCACGCGGGGGCCTGCTTGAAGTCACCGACCTCCAGCCACACGCAAGCTGGAGCACGTTTCGGCCTGGAGATCTCGCCAGGGCGGGTGCTGTCGTAGTCCCTCTGGTCGTCGGAATGGAAAACGAAGTCGACGATCGTGGCCCGCTGCTCCTGGACGAGGCCGCATGTTCGTTGAACTTGCCGGTGAAGCGGATTCGCATTCCCACGCGGGCGGGGTGCACGCCGTGAATCCGACCCCCGCGCTGTACATGTTGGCCACGTTCAGCATCCTGGAGTACGTCGCTGTGTCCTGCGGGGGGATGGCCCTGCATTCGTCGGATGCCAGCAGAAAGATAAGAGACTCCTAGAGCACGCGGGCGTTGCGGCGCGCCCTCTTGGTCATCCAGCGCGCGAGAGGTTCCGAGTACATGGCCAGGCCATAGCCCTCAAGGAAGTTATGCTGCGCGTGCCGCGCGTCGAGTTCGGGGTCTGCGTCGGGGTGGCTGTCCTTGGCAAACGTCGCCTCGAACGCCCTCCAGACAGGGTCAGGGATCCGTTTGCCCTGGCGCATGCAACCCAAGAGCTCGATGAGAGGATCGCCGGGCACGAAGCACTTGGTCCCCATGAGCTCGATGACTTAAAATGCGTCCTAAATGTCCAAGGTGGGTGGTTCCTTGAGCACGTAACCGCCGTTGGCGCCCCGATTCGGCCGCCGATGGGTTACCACCGGCGGCCCGGAGACAAGCGGCTACCCCTGCCCCCAGTTCGGCCGAGGATGGGTTACCACCCCCGTCCCAGACGCAACGGGCTACCCATGCGCCCGATTCGGCCGCCGATGGGTTACCACTGGCGGCCCGAGACAGGGGGTTACCCTCGCCCCCGATTCGGCGGAAACTGCTCCGAAAGAGACGGATATTGAGCACCCAAACAGGCAAACCGCCTAAGACATCCCCCCAATCTGGGCGCGAACGAGCCCGTGATATACTCCCTGGCGCCCCCCCTTGGAAGTGCTGAAACCAGCGCCTCGCCTGAGCCATCCTCGGAAACTGCTCCGAATGAGAAGGATGTTGAGCACCCCGTGATAGACCCCCTGGCGCCCCCCCTTGGAAACGGTGAAACCAGCGCCTCGCCTGAGACATCCTCAGAAACTGCTCCGAAAGAGACGGATGTTGAGCACCCAAACAAATAACCGCCTGAGACATCCCCCCATTCTGGGCGCGAACGGGCCTGTGATATACCCCCTGGCGCCCCCCCTTGGGAGTACTGAAACCAGCGCCTCGCCTGAGACATCCTCACAACGTGTGTGTGAGTCTGAGCGCGGAAATACCAGGAGTGTGAGTAAGTCTGCATATGAATGATCCCGAGCATGAGAAACCTGAGTACCAGGAATCTAAGAGCGAGTGAATCTGATCATGAGCGAATATGAATATGAATGAGTCTACATGTGAGTGAGTCAGAGAATGATGGCCTGAGGGTGGGAGGTGTTCTCTCGTTCTCCGCGCGGTCAAAGTAATAACAAGAACCCCATCCTTAGGATATGGGCAGAAACGCTAAAGCCGAAATAAAACAACTATGTCCTCCGAGGTCTGGCCCAGCTCCTGCCAGCTACACGCCAGACCAACCCTGGGTGGTAAAAGGGACCCTTGGTGCAGGGCTTTCTCGGGAACCGCGGGGAGGGGGGGGGGGCCGACACGAGCACGCAGGACGCTGCTGCCGCATCGCGTTCGGCGATCGGGGGACCTCAGTGGGCCCGCACCGAAGGTCACTCCGGCGAAAAGTCACTCTTACGCCTAATCGACTTGTTCAAAACGTCGACCCTCTGAGGTCCTTCCCTGGGACTGGCTTTTCATCCCGAATCGTCTTTTGACGATTCCGAGGCCCAGCGAGGGCCCCCGGAGGCGGAAAGTAGCGAAACGTCAAGATTTTTTCCCAATGCGAACCCACTGAGCCCACACCAAAGGTCACCCCAGCGAAGGGTGACTCTTACAAGTGTCGACTATGGCCTGGGTCGCCGTCGTCGCGGTACTCGTCGGCCGTGCCGTCCTCCAGGGCGAAGACCACGGAAGGGTCGTAGTGGGCCGAGGGCCTCGGGAGCGGGCCCGCCCCCCAAGCCACGGACGGGGCCTGTCAGGGCCCACGCGCCTGGCAGTGCATCGAGCAGATCGAGCTGCCATATGGGGACAGCTCTCCGGCGATGTGCCTCCTCCTCCTCCTCCTCCTCCTCCTCCTCCTCCTCCTCCTCCTCCTCCTCCTCTTCCTCCTCCTCTCATGATTACCATTGTTAGTGTTACTATTATGCATAGTATTATAGTTGTTATAATGATTCGTATCATTAGTATGTGTGTTGCCAATATCCGTATTAGCAGTGTTAGTATGATTGGTATCATGAGCATCCGTGGTATCGCAATGATTAATAGAACTAGCCCTGTTCGTAGTAATATAATTGTTGTCCTTCCTACTGCAACGATTATCATTACGAGTAGTGCTGTTAGCATGAAGAGTA